GAGGGCGGAGGGGGCAAAAGTCCACCGCCTCCTCCTCCTCCTCCTCCTCCTCCTCCTCCTCCTCCTCCTCCTCCTCCTCCTCCTCCTCCTCCTCCTCCTCCCCCTCCTCCTCCTCCTCCTCCTCCTCCTCCTCCTCCTCCTCCTCCTCCTCCTCCTCCTCCTCCTCCTCCTCCTCCTCCTCCTCCTCCTCCTCCTCCTCCTCCTCCTCCTCCTCCTCCTCCTCCTCCCCCCCCTCCTCGTCGTCCTCCTCCTGGGGGGGGGGGGGCGCGCGTGCGGGGCACTCCGCAAGGGCGCCCTCGAAGGCGCGAAGTGATTCGCGCTTCGCGCTTCGGCTCCGATTCTTCCCCATCCTCCCCTTTTCCCCTGGGAGGCGGCGCGAGAGAGCGCGAAGTGATTCGCCCTTCGCGCTCCGCGCAGCGCGAAGCGCGAAGTTGGGAGACCTTGAAAAAGTACGGCAGGTTTAGAGTCGGACCGAGGTGTAAGATCGAGGTCGGTTCGGGGAGGGTGCCCTGATGCTCTTCGTGCTTCCTAGGGGAGGGTGCCATTGGATGTTCTGCGTGTTTTGGCCGACGGGGGCGGCCGAGACCTCTGGAGGTCAGAGAAGGGAACGGGTACGGATACTGCTGCCCTTCCCTTGTTTGTTCCTCCCTATCTGGTTTTTGTCAGCCAGCGTGTTGTCGATGTGGGGCACCTGGACTGTCAAAACTTGATCGAGATCGAAAACTACCCTTCGGGGAAGCGGTCGAGACCTCTGGAGAACCAGTGCAGCTACCCTTCCCTCGTTTACGCATGTTTGGGCCTCCTGGAAGGTTTGTCGTCGGAGATTTTTCACGTTTCTCAGTTTCAGCAGGTTTTCCAGCGCCCGGTTGTTTTGCACCTCGGCGAGAGCGCTCCGGGGGTGCATGGATCGCCCTGAACGGCCCCCAGAAGCCCGAGGCATGGTTCGAAAACCATCAGGTTGGCGGCTCCTCCTCCTCCTCCTCCTCCTCCTCCTCCTCTTCCTCCTCCTCCTCCTCCTCCTCCTCCTCCTCCTCCTCCTCCGTAGCCATTTTAGCTCAAGGCTGATGCTGCGGCGGGCTGAGCCCGCATTGGCAGAACTGGATACCGCTAGTCCGCGGCATACCCCGATTGCTTTGCAGAGCCTGGTCCGCCCCAGGCCTCTGCGTGCCACTTGCTGCCCGTAGGTGTGCACGTCCGCGCGCCCGCCGCGCGACCGTACTCAAGTAACCCAGCGCGCCGCGGCATGGGATACGGCAGTGGGAAAGCAGCGGGGCATATTGGATGCAAAGCGTGTGGATATAAGTGGAACTGGAGCAGTAAGACCGAATGCTTCAAGTGCAAGGCAAAGCTCCTCCCCACCATCGGCGCCCCACCACCACCGTCAGGAGTATGGGCACAGAATGGCAAGCATTCTGCGGGTTGGTCAAACTCGGGACGGCCATGGAAGAACTGGGCACCGTGGAGACGTTCCACCCACAACGGCGACACGGCAGGCTGGGACAACACGGAGGAGCAGATGTGCGACGTCGGGCAGCCCGACCCGCTCACCACGGTCTCCCTCATCGCGAGCTTGGCAGCATACCAGGGCGTCGGCGACCAGTCCGACCCCACCATCACGGCCGCTTTGGACACTCTGCGTCGCAAGGCCCAGGAGGAGGAGGAGAACGCCAAGCCAGCCCCAGCACCGCCCAAGCAGCGTTTCGGGTGCGCAGCTCCTGGGCGAGGCCAATCGTGCGCTCAAGGATCTCGGTCATCGCATCGGGAAGCAGAGGAAGAAGCTCACGGACGCGCAGCTGTACTTGGACGACCAGAACGACTACATGGAGAAGTTGGTGCAGCAGCGAGTCGAGGCGCAAGAACGGCATCTCTTGGCCCTCCAACAGGCCAACCAAGAATCGGGCATCCTCGTGGTCAGGCCAGAGGAGAAGATCGGCAGCGGTACCCTCAAGGTCAAGTTCGAGTACGACGGCACGCTCTTCGAAGGCCTCGAGGAGTGCGACATTCCCAAGGACGAGATGGACCGCATCATGCAGTGGAAAGGAGAGCTCGAGCAGTTCCAGCAGGAACAGCTCGGCACGCTACAGGCGAAGTTCAAGTACATCGAAGAGGCTCATGAGAAGGCTAAGAAGGCGTTGGCAGCCCCCAAAAAGAAGCGGGAGGTACTGGCAGCAGGCGGAGACGGCACGAAGGTGGAGGCAGTCGACGAGGAGCCCCCTGCTGCGGATGCGGCGGCGGCTTCGGCGGCAGCGACGGCACCTGGCAGCAGTGGAACGGGCAGCGCCAACCCTGAGGAGGAGAAGCAGAATATCCGAGAGGCCAATCAAGCGGCCTTGGAGCAGGCCCGCGCAGAGAGGCGCAAGGCTCGCGAAGCAGATGATAAAGGTGATAATTCTGCTACTGGTGCTGGCCAGTCGCAGGCTTAGCGAGCCTCAGTCCGACCAGCAGCAGAGCGACCTGTTCCAGGTTCTCTTCGGCAACATCACGGAGTGGGGCCCGCAGGTGCAGAACTACATAGAGGGTCCCAACAGCAAGCAGTTCGATTGCATCGCGTTCGTGGAGACCCACAAAAGGCATGCGGATGTGCTCGGCATGGAGACGTTCTTGCAGAAGGAAGGTTGGAAGGCAGCGATCACTCCCGCAGTGCCCAGTGGCAAGTCGCACAAAGGTCTGTCGGCTGGGGATATGGTCGCCACGCGCGCGCATATCCAGGCCACCTCGTTGGAGCACTGGAAGGGCAAGCAGGACAAGCTGGGCGACGCGACCTCTGCGGGTTTCTCCCCAATGGTACTCCACCTCAGCATCGGTAATTTCATCTTCATCGCGGCGCACTTGCAGCCGAGTCTGAACTTCACTGGCAGGAAAAAAAACCTTCGCAGCTTTTGCAAGATTGCAGAAAGACCCATGGCTTGTGCTTGCAGATTGGAATTGCGTTCCCAGCGAACTACTTGCCTCAGGTTGGATAGAGCAGATGCGAGGAGAAATTGTCACGGGGCCAGAGGAGGTGACTTGCGATAAAGGCAAAGGTTCGTTATATGATTATGGAGTGGTCTCGGCAGGGTTCAAGGACGGCCCCACCATCACCAAGGAGCTCGCGGTACCGTGGGCCACGAATTGTGGGCTACGGATACGAATGGCTGGAAAGAGCAGCGACGGTGGCACCGCACGCCGGACATCCCAAAAAGTTTACCATCCGAGCCGAGGCCGAAGAAGCAGAAGGACATCAACAGCAAGCGGAGCAAGCAGCTACAGCGCCTACAACAGCGACGAGAGGCCCTGGCCCCAGAATTACGACGCGGATTCGATCTACTTGAGCAGGGCCCAGAGGCAGAGGTTCTGGACACATCCCCGACATCAGAGACGCAAGCTGCGGCTACTTCAACGACCCTCTGTAACATCAGCGACGACACCTGGGAGCACGCCAAATGGGGATTGTCTGGCATCCTCCACAGGCCTCACGCCGATCTGACTCGTCGCCACGATACCTCGCTGGATCCCAGGCCCCAGGAGCCTCCTGGCCAGGAGTCCCGACCCTCAAACAGCTCGCCTAGCCCAGCTCACCTGCGCCACGAATCTACTAGCGGAAGCAGGGAGCTGAGGCAGGGAGCTGGCCCAAGTCTCGGGACCCCGGACATTGCCCCCAGCGGGGGCTCTCAGAGGCACCACGCCCCAGCGTCTCCCACGCCCTCTCAGATGCCTCCCACGACGGCGGTCCCACCAGACATACAGCTTCGATGGGGGCGATGGCGACCACAAGCCTATCGCGATCGTCCTCTACTGGCGCAGTATTTGGCGAACAGCTACGGCAGGTGGATCACGACATTAGAGGAGGCCATACTACAGCATTCAGAAGTACCAGTGCATCAACGAAATAGTTATCGTGGCAGGCCGCAGGGTTTTGGCATCAAATGGAAGAAAAGCACGGCATCACCAGGCAGGCCTCATTTGTACAACCCTGAAGCAGATTGATGGGCTATCACACATACTCAAGCGGTCGCAGTCAGTGGCCTGGTCAAGAACGACAGGGATCCACAGCAGTTGCAGCAGAGAGGGCAAGATTTTCGGCAGCGTATACAGCAGGTGCACGGGGTCCGCAAGCACAAAGACCTGGAGCTCCTCAACCAGTGGCAGCAGCAGGCGCACGACATCTTCAGTCCAGTACGACAGGCAGGGTAAGCAGCGAGGCGCGCAATGGCTGACGGCACCAAGGGCTTCATCAAGTGGGCACAGGATATGTGGACGAAGACCCCAGGCGCATTACATCGATGGACAAAAGACAACCAACAACCACGGCTCGAGGAGATGATCTCAGGCAAGCTAGTGGCGGACCCCATCCTCATCATGAATCACAAGAGCGACACTTGGGCCAAGAAGTGGACCGCCACACCGCACAGACAAGCAGCACTTGCAGAAGCTCTCCACCTTTGCCGACAGCAGGCTGAGTTGGAGGAACTACCGCAACTCACGATCCAGGACCTCAACGCGGCGACACGACGCATGGGAGTGAAAAAGGCAAGAGGGATCGACGCAATTGGGCCGTTAGATATCGAGCGACTCCCAGACCAAGCGAAGACAGATTCCCACGATATCATCGCAGACGCCGAGAGCTATCTCATGTGGCCCCCACAAGTCCTCGGCACCATTGGAGCGATTGCGGGCAAACCAGCTGGAGGTGATAGAGTTCTGGGGCTGTTACCTATGACAATACGTATATGGTCACGGATGCGGTCTGGGGTGGTAGAGTCGTGGACGCAGCAGCTGGCGGATCACTGGGACACGGCGTTACGAGGATCATCGGCCCTACGAGCAGCATTATTCAGAGCCACGCTCGGCGAAACGGGGCACACAATGGGAATTGCACACGCGGAGTTGTTCGCCGATATGGAGCAGTTTTATGATTCATTGGATCTCGGATGGCTGATCGACACGGGGATCAAGCTGGATTTCTCACCGACAGTTATGGCAATGGAAGTGGAAGCCTTCTTGGGGGCACGGCACCTCAA